GACCGGGGCGTCACCGAGAGGAGCCGGCGAGAGCGGGGCGCATTTGGGGTTCCAAAGCAGCTTGCGCAAGCGGTACGACGTCGGCGCGGGGACCTTGACCGGCATCGTGTCCACGATGGAGGTGACGCGGTCGGCAAAGTGCGGCGCGTGGTTGTACTCGTCAAGCCTGCGGTGCGACGGCGGTGCGCGAGTCGGCGAGGGAGATTCGGAGCGGTGAGGCAGCGGCGGTGGCGGCGGCGGCGGCGGCGGCAGCGAGAGAGGGAGGTGGCAGGGGCGAGAGGGGGGGGGGGGAGAGAGAGAGAGAGAGAGAGGTGCGGGCGAGTGTGCCGTGATTGTACTGGTCAAGAGAGGCGAGGCAGGGCGTGGTGATGCCGCGTGGTGATGCCGCACACGTGCCGAGAGAGAGTGTGTCTGCGCGGGTATGTCTAGGCGCGCACCGGCGGTCGTACTCGATGTAGTTCATCTGCTTCAGCGCGATGCCGATTGGCAGCACTCGCCGGTCGAAGGTCCGCTCGGACATCTTTAGGGAGGGGAACTTGGGCATCGTCCACGCCTCCTTCCACTTTGGGTGGATCCCCTTGTGGATCCACCTGCAGCAGCGCGCACGGGAGGGTGAGGGGTGGGGATGAAGTGAGGGCGGCGGGCAGCAGCCGCGCCGCAGATGAAGAGAGAGAGAATACTCCTACGGCACGCACATGTAGTAGCAATAAAAGTACGCCGCTTGCTTGGTCAGCTTTGCCTGCGTCGGCGGTGCGGGAAGCGCGCCGCCGAAACTTCCCGGCGCCGAGCCACTGTGCGAGTGTTGATCGTCGAAAATTTGCTGCAGTACATCAAGGTCGTATCCTGTGTCGACTTTGCACCCTTGCTGCTCGAAAAGGGACAGATCCACAGACATGGCGTTTTTTGCAGTGGTGCTGTGTCAAGTACACAATTGAGGCGCGGCGCGCCACAATTGGCTCCTTTGCCCCTCTCGGGTCCGCGAGTTCCTCCGGTCACGGGGATAAACTTGCCCGGATAAACGGCTAACCTCGGAATGTGACACCAGAATGGCTGTGCTGGCTCCTTCACAGCCATCTTGAGAGATATTTTTGCCATCTTACCTAAGGATGGCTGAGCTAGCTACAGGGCAGCCATAGCCTCCAGGCCGATGGCTGCAATACACACAGGGCAGCCATCCTGAGTAGGGATGGCTGGAGACGCACTACTGCAGCCATACCGCACGCCCCGGGGCGGGCCCTCATGGCTGAGCTGGCTACATCGCAGCCATCTTGGGTAAGATGGCTGGGCCAAAGCCAGTTCAGCCATCTACTATTGCCTGGGGCACAGTCAGTGCAGCCATCCTCCGGAGCATGGCTGGTGATAATTCGATGGCAGCCGTCCGCCGCCCCCGCCACACGCACAAATGGCTGCGCGCTTGCCGCCCCCGGCCTCGCGGGACGGCTGCCATTGGCTGCCATCGAATTATCACCAGCCATGGCTCTGGAGGATGGCTGCAATCTCTGTGCCCCAGCCATAGTAGATGGCTGAAATGGCTGAAATGGCTGTCCCCCAGCCATCTTACCCAAGATGGCTGCGATGAAGCCAGCTCAGCCAAGAGGGCTCACCTCGAGGCGGGCGGTATGGCTGCGGTAGTGCGTCTCCAGCCATGTCTACCAAGGATGGCTGCCCTGTGTGTATTGCAGCCATCGGCCTGGAGGCTATGGCTGCGCTGTAGCTAGCTCAGCCATCCTTAGGTAAGATGGCTGTGTAGGAGCCAGCACAGCCATTCTGGTGTCACATTCCGAGGTTAGCCGGGATAAACGCCCCCACCCCCCTTATATCTTTAGATGCGCCGAAAAAGAAAAAAATGTGCATGCGACAGACGTCAGACTCTACATGTACATGTGCATATGCACATGTGCATGTGTGTTGTGTGAGCCAACCAGTGGGAGCACGCGCAAGCCGCACAAGCCCTGCCGCCACCGCTCCCTTTGCTAGACGACTAGGCCAAAGCGCGCGCAGAAAAGCTTGTCGACCGCTCCCGCCCCCTCTCTGCCCCTCTGCCCCCCCTTCTCTCTCCCTCTCCCTCTCTCACCTCCGCCGGTCGGAATAGTAGTCGCGCCCGCGCCGCCGGTCGTAGTCGCGGTCGCGGTCGTACGACGAGCGGCGGTCGCTGCGCTCCCGGCTTCGGCTGCGGCGGCGGCCGCTGCGCTCCCGCTCGTAGGAGCGCTCCCGCCCGTCCCGCTCATAGCTTCCTCCTCCGAGCTGGCCGCGCTTTCGGTCTCGCGGGGTGTCGCGCGACGGCATCGGCTCGCGCTCCCAATCGCGGGAGTGGATCTCGCCGTCGGCGGCCGCGGCGTCGATCAGCTCCTGCAGAGACACGATTCGACAGGATTCGACAAGATTCAACGAGATTCGATGAGGGAGAGGCGAGCGCGGCCGAGGTGCAGCCGAGATGCAGCCGAGATGCAGCCGAGATGCAGCCGAAGTGCAGCCGAGGTGCAGCCGAGGTGCAGCCGAGGTGCAGCCGAGGTGCAGCCGAGGTGCAGCCGAGGTGCAGCCGAGGTGCAACCGAGGTGCAGCCGAGGTGCAGCCGAGGTGCAGCCGAGGTGCAACCGGGATGAGCCAAATTCTACAGCCGCTCCTTGACCGTCAGCTGCATCTTGTTTCGTTCGAGCGACGTGCGGCAGAGGAGGAAGCAACGCTCCACCCACCTGTTCATGGAAGGCTCAGGGAAGGTTCAGAGAAGGTTTTGCAGATGCCGGAGGAAGCACCGCTCCACCCACCGCTTCAGCGAAAGAGGCCACTCC